ATATAAAGTATAAATAATTTGAGGCGCTTATGCTAATATTAATCTCTGGGTGTAGTTTAACGAATGCAAAGACATGGGGATCTTTGATATTTCAGGATTAGATATTTATCGAAAGGTTCTGGCCGTCCAGTGACTTATTTTATTTAGATGTCAACTTCGAACGGGTGAAAAAGACGCTCATAGAAATTGAGGCGTTGGCGAGGCACATAGCGTTAGAAAAAGCCGAGATTCGTTCCATGGAAGAAGGAGTGCATGTTCGTTTGAAATCTCTTTATAGCGAATTTGGCTGTGACGATAACATCCGTGACAGCGACACCGTGGGCGAAGAGTCAGCACAAAAGTTAACTCAAAGTCAAAAATTTGAAAATGTCGGACAGGATGCCGAGGTTTATGTCTTTAATTTTTGAACTTCCTTTTTCGCAGTGTCTGAGTCAAAAATTTGCTAAGAAGGAAAGAAAGAAGCGAACTCTGTAAACCTTCGAATGTCGGCTTTTCTTCCCTTACAGTTCCGTAACGATCGCCTTGGTAGAACCGTCCTCTCGTTAGGCTTATGATGCAGCGCTGTTGTCATTACTATGCGGTCAGCCAGGACTGTCTAAACTTTCAAACAGTCATTATCATGATCCTTATCTTCATGTTCCATAACCGCTTTTCCTTTCGGGTCGCGGAGGCAGACGCGCCAGACAGTGTTAACAGCTTTCCCGATCCTGTGCCAGTCTGATCTTTGGCAGAACACAGCTGCAGTCTAGAGCAGACTCCTTCCGTATATTTGCGCCAGGTTTATCTTGGCCGTCCCCTGGGCTTTCCGCAGGTCGGCTGGGCAAGAAATAGTTGCTTCGCCTTCCTTTCTGGAGACATTTACAGCACATGCCCAAACCATCGCTGCTGTGACTTCTCAGTCTGGAGAAGCAAAGGCTGAATACCAAGGCTCTTCCGGATATCAGTATTACGGACCAAGTCGAGACGTGTAAGGCCAGAAGCTCGTCTCAGTAAGCCCATTTCAGCAGCTTGCACCCGGGTTCGAAGCTATTCAGTCATGGTCCGCGATTCATGACCGTACATTTAGCATGGGGATGAAAATCGACTTGGAGCTTAGTCTATGGACTCAGCTCTGATTTAGTCACAGCAATTTGGGCTAGTTCACGCAG